GTGAGCCCAGCGCCCACTCTGCAGAGCTGCGCATGAGGGAAGACCTTCCCTGAAGGCAATGGCTGTGTCCAGAATCCCTGCCCACTGACCCTTGGTTTGGGCTCCTTTTTAAGCCACAGTCTTTCTTCTGTCTCTGGATCTTCCACCTTCCCACTTCACTCCCTTCCAGGCTGAGGACCTGTCTCTCTAAGTCCCCCTACAGCTCCTGGACAAGGGAAGCTTTCCACATGCTAATGAGCACATATTTGGGGCCAGACTGTCTGTCCTGAGATTTGGTGACAATCACGGCAGCCATCTCTCAGGACATGAGCAGAGTGTGAGCTGATGTTTGCAGACCGGGTGCCTCTGCGTGGGTCTGCCCAGAGGGTGGGCTGGGACTGGTGGGGCCTCACTCCACTTGGGCCTTGTCGGAAATGATGCCTGGCCCTGGTCCAGATCCACTGCGTCTGGGATCTGCATCTTCACAAGACCCCGGGAGGCTGGTCCGGCATACAGATGACTCTCGTATGGCTCAGAAGTAATAACTGACGACACCTCTAACAGTCAGAAGATTTCATGGGAGAAAGAGATCGCCAGCTTTTCTCAGTTGGAAGATGGGCAGCCCTGGTCATCTGCAGTGGCACTCCTGCCCCTCCACCCCCACCACACCACCAGGGTGCTAGATCTCGGGTCACCGCAGCAGCCTCCGGAGTGGTCACCCGCTGTCACCTCTCCTGCTCCCTGTCTGCCCCTCCAAACCCCTGGGCCTAGAGCCCCTGCGTCAGCCCTGGTGTCTCCCCGAGGACCACCCCTAGCTGCTCGTCCTTGCTCTCTACCCCCACCCTCACCCTGTTCTCTGCCTGGACTGTCCTTGCTCAGGGCCAGGAGGCTCCATCCTCTCCACCCTGAGGTGCAAAATCCACTGCCACCTTCTCATGCAGGCCCTGTTGGGCCTCTGTCTTTAGAACAGCACCGGTACGACCAGCACTGTGTTTTAGCACCTAATTATCCCCAAGTCACCCTACATGGTTTCCTGCATGGCCCTTACAGGGCAGAACGTGGTGCAGGCTGACTCCCTGTGTCTCCTCACCGCCAGGTCCCCACTGCAGGGTGCTACCTAAACAGCACAGGCTCTACCAGTAATTCAATGACAGGCTGTTGAATGACAAGGGAGCGCCAGCAAGCGCCCTCCTCTCTCTGGGGCTCAGTTTCTCCACTTGTAAGTGGAGCAGTCTTGGCCACAGCACCGTGCAGACAGCCCATCTCCAGGAATGAACATGTGCTCTCCGTGGGCGTGGCTCTGTGCTTTCTCTCCTGGGCTGCTCCCTACAACATCAGGAGGAAAGCCGGAAGGGAGCCCTGCAGACCAGGCCTGGCAGGAGGGGAGCAGAGAAGCAGAGCCCATAGGAGGGGAGAGAAGGCATCAAGGCCGTTCACAGAGGACAGTGCTCCTCAGACTGAGGCCTGGCCCAGGGCAAGAAATCTGTGACATCATGACTTAGTAACAGGCAGGGCAGGCAGGACACGGAGGGAGGAGGCGAAGGCAGAGGAAGCAGTGGGCGGGGGGGGGGGCAACAAAAAGGGCACTCAGGGCACCGGATAACTGACGTGGAGGCTTCACAAACCCAGGAACTATTTCTACGTTCACTGCACTCTGGTGTGGTTTCATTCGTTGTTTAATTTTCTTTAAATTGCTGCTAATGATCCAGGTCCTGGCTCTCCACAGCCACCAACAGCCCATGTCCAGGCAGTGCAAACCCTGGGGTTCAGCAGGAATGCCCCAGGGGCTGCAGGCCAGGAGAGGAGGCACCCACGCAAAGTTATAGGGGGACATGGAGACTGGGAGGGGCAGTTACTGGCTGGGCAGCTGTTCTCAGGGTACCGCTCCTTAAGGAATACGCCCTGGGGATTGTCTGGCAGGTCACAACTGCCTGCACAATTGCTACTGAAGGGTGAGGGCCATAGGTGGGCTTGGATCCCACCAGCCTCACGACAGAGTTGCCCCTTCAAAACCTCTAAAACCTCATGTCATGTCAGAGCCCTGAGCCAGAAATCTCTGCACTCAGGGCTTGGCAGTTCTGCCTGCTGCATGGCCGGTCCTTCTTGGAGGACCCCGATGATGTGAAAGCTACTGGGGAGGCTGCGGGTCCCCTGTCACCCGACGCTTCATCTCAAACACAGCCAAGGGCTCCTGGGTCCAGGCTCCAAAGCACAATCGTCTAGGATGTGGGGTGTGCATCTGTGCACAAGGGACCCAAGGGTGTGTAGTGCCCCCTCATATCCATTTAAGATACGGCTTAAAGCCTGGGCAACAAAGTGAGGCCCCATCTCTAAAGAAAATTAATACATGCACCAAAAAAAGCTGGTGCAGCGGCTCACACCTGTAATCCCAGCACTTTGGTAGGCTAAGGTGGGAGGACTGCTTGAAGCCAGGAGTTCAAGACCAGCCTGGGAAACATGGTGAGAGCCCATGTCTACTAAAAATTGGCCAGGCGTTGTGGCATGTGCCTGTAGTCCCAGCTACTTGGGAGGTGAGGCAGGAGGATAGCTTGAGTCCAGGTGTTCAAGGCTGTAGTGAGCCATGATCAAACACTGCACTCCAGCCTGGGCAACAGGGTGAGATCCTGTCTCTATAAATAAATTAAATTTAATAAAAATAAAATATGGCTTGGACATCTCTCTGGAATCTCCATAATTCACGGTTTGACACCAAGTCCATCACGCAATGTGCAAAAAGAAATGGCCTTCTCTTTGGAAACAGGAATAGCTGTTTCCTTCCCACGTCTTCTGCAGAGTGAGGCCCATAGCATCCATGTGAGCGGCAGCCCATCAGCCGGTGAGGCCAGGATCACGTTGGCTGCAGGTGTCACGTGCGGCTTTCACCCTGTGAGAGGGAGCGGCACAGGAGCATCTGCCATTTTGTTTTCCATGGAATTTAAGGATTATGTTATCTCCATCTGCCCCAGCAGCATTGTAAGTCACTTCCAAACACCAGGGCCCTGTCTCCACTGATGTGAGAGTAACTGGTCCGCCAGGCCTCTGCACACAGAACCCCGTGGCTTGGGTTTGCTGGTGGTTTCTGTTGGGGGGTAACGGGCACCTGGGCTGAGCACTGGACCCGTGACTGTGATGCAGTGCACTCGTGTCCTTCCCACAGCAACCCTGGGAGGCTGCATTCCTGGGCCCTCATTCTGGAAAAGAAAAGTCTCCCAGGATGGGAGAAGGCAAAGCCCAGATTCTGTCTCCATTAAACCTTGAAGAGGTCTGTCTCCTGGTCAACAAGACAGTACAAGCACAACCCATTCAAAACCCCCCAAATCCCACACAAAACCACGCAGGACCTGTAGGGCAGCATCACCCTCTGCCCCAGTGCAGACACTGAGGACGCTGGTGGATTCAGGCAGATTCCGTCTGTCCACGGCATTGATAAGCGTGACCAAGAGGCAGGCAGTGACCCCGGCAGGGGTGAGAGTTCAAGCCCTGGTGACAAAGCGCCTGCTGCGAAACACCTGTGCTTGGCGCCCCCTCCAGGAAGCTGCTGTGATAGAGATAGCCTGACTCTCCAAAGCCACCCAAAGAGCCCTAGACTGGCAACAAGCTCCCAGGAGAAATGACCGGCCACGATGAGCACATGAGGCTCTGAAAGACCAGGACCCCGCATGGAAGATAAGTCTCATGACAAACCTGTCCAGGAGACACTGGAGGCGTCACTCTTCCCTGCCTGACTTACTCTCCAGCCTGGTCCTCTCTCGGGCCCCAAAATGCCCAGTGCCAGCCACAGGTTACAGCCCCGCATCCAACAGATCACCAGTTCCCAACACATCTGCCAAACCCAGCCTGGTTTGGAGCAGCCACGTCTGTGCAGTAAAGCCAGCCCTTCTGTGAACCCCAATCCACAGAAGTGAGTGTGGGTGTCCACAGTGTCAACAGGACACCTCCTTCCACTCCTAGTTTCCACCTACAGGTGAGTCTACTTTTCCCACCTCAGACCCAGGGTAGCCCAGGCCAAGGTGCTCCCAAGTGTAGCTCTCCAAAGGCTTCCTGCGCATTTAGAATAAAACTCACACTCCTCCATTTAGAATAAAACTTACACTCCTCCCTTTAGAGTAAAATTCACAGTCCTCCCTTTAGAATAAAACTCACACTCCTCCATTTAGAATAAAACTCACACTCCTCCATTTAGAATAAAACTCACACTCCTACATTTAGAATAAAACTCACACTCCTCCATTTAGAATAAAACTCACACTCCTCCCTGAGGCCTGGGCACTGGAGCTGAGCCTGCTCCTCCCAGCCTCCTGCCCCCCCAGCGCCTCAGAGCTCAGGGTGCTCCACCCACAGCCACGCCTAGCCCCTTCCTGCCCCCTGCCCTCTGCACTTGCTGTTTTCTGGCCTAGAACGTTCTTCCCCCAGCCTTTAGGACAGTCGCTTCCTCTGGCCATCCAGACGCCATGTCCTGGAGACACCTCTCCTCACCCCTCCATGAAGACAGCCCTATCTATTCCCTGCTGTCATCTTCTCCCAGGCTGTCCTCTTCCACTTTCTTCCTACACTGATTCAAAGTCACTAATTTATCTACTAGTTTATTATCTGTCTTTCCCAGGAGAACACAAACTCCTCAAGAGCAGGACTGTGTTGTTCTTGTTTCCAGCAGAGCCCCCAGTGCCCGGTTCACAGTAGGCGCCCAGTAAGAATCTGCCAGAGGGACAGATGGCAGGGATGAGGGGTCCCTCCTCAGATACCCGCCTGGTGCAGTCTGGGTGTCACTGTGGGAAGCACACCACTCCGGACTTGGCTTACACAATCATGGGCTCCTCGGATATGTGCTGGCACCCAATACATGCAGGGCCCTGGGTGACAGGAGCCAAGCAAGACGATGGACTCTGTTTTTAAACACAGGCCCCATAGAGTCACATGCCCAGGCCCCACGGGCACTGGTGGGCAAAGCGTTCCTTTCGCCCCAACCTGCAGCCTCATGGCACATCCTCCATGTCCCAGGACCCCTGAGGCCTGGCTCTTACCTCCAGCGGGACCACCTGCATGAGGATGGCGAAGTTGGTGAGGTGAGTGCAGCGGCAGACAGAGTAGGTGAGGTTTCCTTCCGTGAGCACACAGCCCTGGTTCGACCAGACCCCTTCTCTGGAGCTGAGGACACAGGAGAAAGGATCAGAGGTGGTAGCACTGCACCCTTGGCAGGGGACTGAGAGCGGCACTCCCACACCACACGGGCCTGTGAACTCACAGCGGTGCTCTGTCGGTGTGAATATTGGTGATTATCATTTTCTTCTCTGTTTTTCTGTATATTTTGTTTTTGTTTTGAGACAGGGTCTCATTCTGTTTCCGAGGCTGGAGCGCAGTGGTACGATCATAGCTCATGCAGCCTTGCCCTCCTGCGCCCTTGCAATCCTCCCGTGCGATCCTCTGGCCCTTGCAAGCCTCCTGAGTAGCTGGGACTACAGGTGCATGCCACCATGCCCAGTTAATATTTTTATTTTTGTAGAGATATATATAGTCTTGCTATGTTGCTCTGGCTGGTCTCGAACTCCTGGGCTAAACAATCTTCCTGCCTCAGCCTCCAAAAGTGCTAGGATTACAGGCGTGAGCCATTGCATCCTGTCTTCTATATTTTCAATTTCCAAAAAAAAAAAAACAGATTTAAATTGTTCTTTCCTGAAGTTGCAACCTCGGTAAGGACAAATCCTTGCTTCAGCCAAAGGCAAGAGCCCTTGAGGGAAACATTTATAAGGTGAACAAGTTAAACGGCTCTAGTTTGTTTTGCTTTGTACTGACTTTCAACTGTGGTGTCAGCGTGGACGTGGCAAATGAGACTGTGGCTGTCGGGCAGTATGACAGGTAAGATCCAATCTCGTACCTCTCCGGCCAATGTCCACCAGACAGAGCACGTGCCTGCAGCCTTGGGTAATGGTAACTCTGCATTAGCCCTGGGTGACACAGAGCCCAAGGGAGGGACTGGGATGGTCCTTCAGACATGACCCAGGGGTGGCTCTGAGCTTGAGGATGGAAACTCAGAGACAGGAGCTCAGTGGTGATATTCATGATTAATGACGTGCTTTCCTATGGGAGGGAGAAGGTATTTAGCAGACACCAGAGGGCAAAGTGAGAGTCACTCAGACCTACCAATGTAGAGGAGCAAAACCCTATTAATAACTTCAGAATTGATGGGACTTAAAGATGGGGTCATGCCCTCCTCCTCTACCTCCTCAGCCCTCTTAATCTAATTTTCCCAGAACCTTGGAGGGAGTCATCAAACACCAGCTTTTGTGTTATCCATTGAGCCTTTGTCTGTCTATTGGCTGATGAGTACCACACTTCAATGCGAGGGTGGCCTGAACATTAACAGGCATTGAAATAGGGGAACACGGTCGTGGGGATGAGCTGCCCCTTCTGCTTACACAAAGGGTAAGTTACACAATATGAAAGTCACATTGTTCAGATGGAGCTGCAAAGGTGTGATGATGACCTAGTTAGCCAGAGGACTGGAGCCTTAAATGGCATCAAGGAAGACCTACTTCGAAGGGAGTCAGTGAAAACCAAGAGGCAGGCCTGCAGCTTGTGCATAGATACATCTGCTACGAAAGCCAGACGAAGCAGAACCAAATAACATGAAAAGTACGTACAGCCCTGTGACCCAGGAAGTCTGCATCTAGGAAAAATGTTCAGTAACGCATAAATCAAATACAGCACACCTAAATACAGTAAAGGACATGTGTGTCCATGCGGGCAAAATGCGGAAACAGAATGGGAGGAATGATGGAAGAAACACTGAACTAAACACCCCCATATATTTTCTATGATTAAAAATATCAATTACATATAAATTATTGAAAAAATACACATAAAACCCTCCCACAGTGGTTATTGCTGGGGAAAGAAGTGGCAATCAGGATAAGAGGTAAAGGTCAAAGGAAACACATGCTTTTCTATAATGTTTTACTTTTAAAAATATATATATTGATATATTGCTTGTATAATTTCTTTCTTTTTTTTGAGACAGAGTCTCGTTATGTCACCAGGCGGCAGGCTGGAGAGCAGTGGCGCAATCTCCGCTCACTGCAACCTCTGCCTCCCGGGTTCAAGCAATTCTCCTGCCTCAGCCTCCCAAGAGGCTGGGACTACAGACGCGCGCCACCACGCCCAGCTAATTTTTTATATTTTAGTAGAGATGGGGTTTCACTGTGTTGGCCAGAATGGTCTTGATCTCTTGACCTCGTGATCCACCCGCCTCGGCCTCCCAAAGTGCTGGGATTACAGGTGAGCCACTGCACCCAGCCCTATAATTTCTTAAAGAATCAGTCTAGAAAAAACCAGCCTGGAATTCTAAGCCCAGTGGAAATCTTCCAAGAGTAGAAGAGAATACTTTCTCAAATGGTAACTGAATCTATTCCCAGTGGACCAGCACTACAAGAAGAGTCAAAGGCATATGATACTAGACAAAAATCTACACAAAGAAAGAGAAGAGTTAGAAATGGAATAAGTGAAGGTGAATAAGCAGTGATTACTGTCTTATTCTTAATTGCTCTAGAAGATAACTCATTCTCTGGGGGAAAAGCACTAGCAATGCACTGCAGTGATGGCGTCTGCAAAGGCGGAATGCTGTACAACAGCACGCAGAACGGGCAGGAGGATGGATGAAGCTCCGAGCATAGTGTCCTACAGTGCATTTGGAATGACAGCGTAGTATCTGAAGGCAGGCAGGCAGGAATTAGACATATTATATACATCGTCAACTGTGGTCAACCACTACCAAAAAAGTTAAAAGGATGTATAAAGTAGAAGTCATTTACAGTAGAGATAAAATAGCATCATAAAAGATATCCAACAATCCAAATGAAGTCAGAAAAAGATAACATTTTAAAAAGATAGAAAAGTTAGAAGACATCTAGTAAAATGGTAGATTTTAATCCAGCCATACCAATGATCACATTAAATATAAATTGTCTAAATATGTCAATTAAAAACAGAAATTTTGGGACTGGATTAAAGAAAAGACAAGACCTAGCTATGTGCAGTCTAAAAGAAACCCACTTTAAATATAACTATATAAATAAGATGAAAGTTAAATTGTGGGAAAAGATACAGCATTCAAACACTAATCCACAAAGCTCTAGAGTAGTTGTATCTAAATTAGACTTAGACTCCAAAGTAACACATATTTCCCAGGGTAAAGAGGAACATTATGTAATCATAAAAGGGTTAATTTTCCAAGAAGACATACAATCCTAAACATTCATGCACCTAAAAATAGAGCTTCAAAATTCATTAAAGAAAAATTCATAAAACTAAAAGGAGACAGATAATTCACACTCCTTTCTCTTTGATAGCAAAGCTAACAGAACCGCAGTAAGAATAGAGAAGACCTAATCATAACTATCAATCAACTTGGTGTAACTGACATTTATAGAATACTGCACCAAGAACACACTTTTTTCAAGTGCACATGGGACTTTCATTAAAAACTGAACATATACGGGATCACATAAAAACTTTTGACAAATTTAAAAGAACTAAAATTACAGAAAATATATTTTCTGAGTATAAAAAAATTATTTGCAATTTGATGGCAGAAAACTCTCTGGAAAATTCCCAACTGTTTGGAACTAAACCACACACTTTAAAATAACACACAGGTTAAAGAGAAAATCACAAGGAAAATTAGAAAATATTTTAAATTTAATCCAAATTAAAACAACATACCAAAATGTGTGATACAGCTAAATGAGTGCTTACAAAAAATTACAGCAATAGATGTTTATATTAGAAAATAATAAAGCTTCATAGCAATAACCTAAACCTATACTTTAAGAACTTTTAAAATGATGAGCAAATTAAACTCAAAGAAGCCAAAGGAAGTAAATTAAAGACAAAGAGAATAAGTCACTGAAATTGACAACAAACAGCAAGAGAAAAATCAATGAAGCCAAAAGCTGTACCTCTGGAAAAACATCAATACAATTAATTAACCTATTCTAAGAGTGACTCAGAAAAAAGAAGACACAGATTACAGATAAAAAAAGTGAAATGGGAACATCACCACAGACCCTTCAGACATGAAAAAGGCTAATAAGGGAATACCACAAAAAACTCTGTGCCTATAAATTAAACAACTTTGATGAAATTGATAAATTTTTCAGTAAGAAACACAAACTGCTAAAACTTATTTAAAAAGAGGCAGACGACCCACATAGACCCGCATCCATAAAAGAAACAGAAAGTGAGGCTGAAAACCTGCCAACATTGAAAATGAAGGTTCAGATGACTCCATGGTGAATTCTACTAAAATGGAAAAAAATATCAATTCCGTACAAACTATTCCAAAGTGCATCCCAAAATGTAGCTTTTTATGAAGGTACCATTACCTCGATATACAAATGACGACATTACAAAAAATAAGAAAACTGCAGACCAATATTCTGCATGCAGGCAGACACAAAAATTCTCAACACCTGTAGCCAATTCGATGCAGCAATATACAAAGAGATACATCATGACCAAGTGAGGTCTACCCCAGGAAAGCAAAGCTGGTAGAACTTCCAGCTCTAATCATAATGATCCCACTCTGAAAACAACCCAAATGTTCCCCTACTACGGAGAACACCACTCAGCAGTGAAGTGATACATAACAGTGCAGTGTCATCGTGCTCAACACATTATGCAAAATTTAAAACGCTAGACTCCAAAAGGCTGTCTACTCGTGACTCCATTTATGCACAGTCTCGCAGAAGCAAAACCATATAGGGACAGAAGACAAATCAGTGCTTGCAGGAACCAGACGTGAGGGGAAAACAAACAGACACGACGGTGTCTTCAAGGGTAAGGGACTGTTCTAATCCCGATGACGGCGGTTGCACAACTGTTTTCATTTGTCAAAACTCAGATCATCTACAAGTGTGCATTTTTCTGAATATCAATTGATGAGAAGGAACTGAACAATAAACAGGAAAGATACAGATGCTGTATGCATGATGGTGGCTGCCTCTGGGAACTGAGGAAAAAGAACAGACGAAGGTGGAGGTTCCTTAACACCATCTGTGATGTTTTACTTGTTTCGCGGTGGCTCACGCCTGTAATCCCAGCACTTTGGGAGGCTGAGGCGGGCAGATCGCGAGGTCAGGCGATCGAGACCATCCTGGCTAACATGGTGAAACCCCATCTCTACTAAAAATACAAAAAAATAACCAGGCATGGTGATAGGTGCCTGTAGTCCCAGCTACTCGGAGGCTGAGGCAGGAGAATCGCTTGAACACAGGCAGCGGAGGTTGTAGTGAGCTGAGATCACGCCATTCCACTCCAGCCTGAGCCACAGGAAAGATGCTAATAACTATAAATTTTGGGCAATGGGTACCTGCATTTGTTATATTATTCTCCATACTTTTCCCTGTTCTTAAATTTCCTTCAGAAATAAAAACCAACACGCCAATTTAGTTTTTACCAAACCCCAGTTCCCATTTTCTAGTCATAACTTTTTCTTCCAAACAAATTGGGAGACATTTCTAGGAGCACATGCTTCCAATTTTTCATAAGTTACAAATAAAGGAAAAAGAGCTGCAATGTGCTGAGCCTGAGCAGGACAAAATCACTGAGTTACAGAGCATCCCTCCATGCTGCAGAGGCATGACACCAAAGGCCACAACCAGAGGGAGGCCTCCTGGGGGACAAAAAAGTCAGCGATGTTTGCTGGAGGTGACAGGAGCTAGGCTGTGTTTTCCTCACTGTTCACAGAGCAGAGATATAGGGGGATTATGCCGACCCACCGCTGCACTCCCAGCTCAGTGTCTTGCAATCTCCTGGCCTCTGGGTGCAGGGAGCGGAGAGGCTTTCTCTGCCGGGGGCCACACCAGCAGACGTGGCACAGCCTGTGTGGACGCTGGGCTGGAGCAACAGGAGGAAGGAGCAGGGGAAGACGCCCAGGTGCTGGGGAGCGCCGTCAACATGAAGGGTGACAGGCCACTAGGCAGGGTAAGAACTGGAGGTCCCAGATGTGTTCAGCTGCCTGTGCAGTATTTTAAACATTGGGAAAGTTCATATAAAAATCCAGCCACGCATGCCTGTGATCCTAGCAGCTTGGGAGGCTGAGGCAGGAGAATTGCCTGAACCCAGGAGGCGGAGGTTGCCGTGAGCCAAGATTGCACCATTGCACTCCAGCCTGGGTAACAAGAGTGAAACTCCGACTCCAAAAAAAAAAAAATCCAGCCACAGCCAGGCACAGTGGCTCACACCTGTAGTCCCAGCACTTTGGGAGGCTGAGGCGGAAGGATTGCTTGAGCCCAGGAGTTTGAGACTACAGTAAGCTAAGATCACACCACTGGACTCCACCAGCCTTGGTGGCAGAGCAAGACCCTGTCTCAAAAACAAAAACAAAAAGAAAATTCAGCCATGAAAACTCATGACCTGGTAACATCGGACCTGCAACCTGCATGCCATGTGGAACAAGCCCTGGGGGCACAAGCAAGCAGTGGCTGCGGGTTCAGGAGCCCCGCGCCTCCCTCCACTCCCTGGCCCTGCTGGGAGCTGCGTTTTCAACACCGCTCTGACTGTGGGAGCCACTCACTGTGGGCTCATGTCTGGAGCAGAATCGTGATCAGAGCGATGGTGGGAGATGCCCAGACATGGGGCTGGTGAGCTGGGGCGGGGCTAGGAGTGCAGGAGGAGACTGCCTGTGAGAGGTGTGTCCGGTAGACATGGGCGATACTGAGGGCTTGGATACCTCGCGTCCACCAACTGTCCCCTGTGCAGAGGGTACCTGAAGTCCAGGAAGGCGCAGTACACGAAGACTTGGTTGCTGCTGTTGGTGGCCTCACTGTGCTGCTTACGTGTCTGAAATGAAAGAAAACATGACACTGCTGAAGAGGCCCCTGGTTCTCAGCACTAGCTTGAGAGCCAGACCCTCACAGCTGGGCGACCTCAGGCAGGGACAGGCACGGACACCGATTTCTGTCTCCACACATTGTGGGCATAGTCCCATGTCACCCAGCCCATGTCATGCTGCCCTCCCTAACCCACCCAACGGCCCTGGCAGGTGCCGGGCCCTTCCTCTAGTACACTCCTCCCCACAGGATGCTCCCTGTCAGGCAGCCACAGGCTCCCTCCCAACTCCCTGCCATGCCTCTGCACTAAGGAGCTCCTCAGAGAGACCTTCCCTTCCCAACCTGTTCTAAACAGCACCAGCCCCTGCCTGTCCTAGCTCCATTCCACTCCCTGATTTTTTCATAGTATTGATCACCATATGGCACGTTATGTATTCACCGTCCACTGTGTGTGTGTTTGCTACCTTCCCCTCTGCAATGTCCACTACAGAAAGGACAGAGACTCTGTCTCATTCACGGCTGCATCCCCAGGACTTAGAGGGCATCTGGCATACAGCAGATGCTTACTAAATACCTGTTCAACCAGTGCACAAAAGAATAATTCAACAGGTCCCTGAGACCGCCTTGTTTCAGGAACTGGCGTTCTCTCCTGGGCTGCTCCTCGGAGGACTGTGCGGCTACGGCTCTGCCCTAAATAAAAGGCACAGATGCCTTCAGGAGCCGTGGCTGGAGGCTCAGGAGGCCAGTGCCTTCATCAGGACCCAGAGCTGCTCAGAGGCGGCGTGGCTGCAGGATAAATGGTGTGTGATGGGTTCCCAATCAGTCCAAGCCGAGCATCTCTTACATGCCCAATGCCTGCTCCATTCTGCGACCGTCCCTGTGCCATCACTGCTCCAGTGAGACCATTCCCCCACTGCAGGGTGAAGAGCTCTCAGGAAGCCACTGTCTTATGCAGGACAGAGCAGCAAGGGTGGCCCCGCTCTGAGCGCCATCTTGACAGAGCAGCAAGGGTGGCCCCGCTCTGAGCGCCATCTTGGCCTCTGTCTTATGCAGGACAGAGCAGCAAGGGCGGCCCCTCTCTGAGCGCCATCTTGGCCTCTACTAAAGCCCCTCCTTTTCCAGGGAGCAGCAGCGCTGGTGCCCCTGACAGGTGCCTCGGACCCCACGGCAGAACCTAAGGCTTCACAGGGCTCTCATCACAGCATCTGTCTGACAGCTCCTCTGCCCTCAACCTAATTATCCTATTGCTGTCCATTACCAATGTTCTGGCAAAATGGAATCTTTACTCCTTTTGCTTTGTCCTTCTGTATCTTAGGGTTATTTTAATGCATCACAGAGTCTCTTAAAACTGCCTGGAAAAGACGCCTTCTCCTCTGTCTTCCCAAAGCCACAGCCTGCTGTGAACTCTTGCACAGACACAGAGGGCCCTGGGTCCTGCAACCACCTGGACCACAGAGGGGCATGGGCAGGGAAATGGCAGCACCAACACCACATGACAGACATGACAAACAAAAACCTGGTGGCCACAGCCAGGGTCTCAGAGGGGCGTCATGAGGCTTCCTTTGCCCCAGACTACCCCTGAACCAAACCCTCCAGCAGACAGCATTATATGTAATTTTTTAACAAGAGGTGTATTTGTGTGTTACTTGAGTAATTAAAAATAAATTTTTTAAATAAGCCGGTGACCTGAGGAAACCAGCAACCAGACCCACACACATCAACATGAGACGGGGGCTTCTCAGGAGTGAGACGACGTTTCTCCCATCACCTCCTCACCCAGCGCTGGCCCTCGCCTCTGTGCTGGGTGTGGAAGCACAGCCCCCAGGGAGCAAAGCAGAGGCTGCAGTGGCCTCTGGAAGTCCTGACACTGACTTCAGAGCTAAATCACTCTTCAAAGGCAAAGTAGAAAACAGCCACCACCGCAAAAAGCCAAGCATGTGTGTGGTCGGAGGGTGGGGAGGCAGCCAGGTTCTCTTGGATCTGGAGCCAAGATCACACTCCAAAATGGGGAAACTCCCTCCGCTCCATCTTCAGAGAGTCTATCGCAGCCTCTGCTCCTAGGATGAGAAAGGCAATTGACACCTCATTTGTGTGTTCACCGCTGACCCGGGAACAAAAGCTCTCAGCAAGTCTCCAGTAAAGGGGCCTCCAGGGCTCCCAGGGGCTTGACGTGGAGTGTGTGTGTTTTTAATACAGGGGTGTGGTGCTGCCAGAATGTGAGTCATCTGTATAAAGGCCGCAACTCACGCAGAAATGTGGGAGGCGCCCGCAGCCCACCAGCCTCCCCAAAGCCTGGGCGAGGAACAGAAGGCAGTTCAGTTCGTCACCAGTGGCTGGGGAATGGTAATGAGGTGATCCCTTTCTGTAGTGTCTTCATCATGAGTGTTGGGGGACAGCCGCATTCACCTGAGCGTCCTCCTGAGACCCCAAGCCAGGGGCTGCTGAGCTCTGCTGGACAGAAATGAAGGCCTCCTCAAAGGGCCGGCTCCCCTGCAAGTAAGCCAATTCCTCACGAGACACACTTCACTGGGGTATATCTAATGGAGAGTGCTCACGAATATCTCCCACAGGACCTGAGACTCCCTCCAACAGCCGCCATGATCTTTCCAGTGGGGGAGAAGCAAACAGGATTTATCAACTGCTTGTTTACTGCCTACTGTTCATGAGCAAGGTACACCAAAGTGTCTCCTTCCAGGAAACACATATAGAGAGGAGAGAAAATGTTAATTTCATGATAGCCTGGTAATATCCCTTGTTCAGAAATATGCTGGCTTTTATGTAAGTATTGCTATGGTTTGACTGTGTCCTCCAAAAGCTCTTGTGTTAGAACCTTAATTCCCAATGCAGCAGTGTTGGGAGATGGGGCCTTTAAATGGCAAATGGATCAGAGAGGGCTGAGCCCTCACTCTCACTGTTACGGGAGTAAGGTAGTTCTTGCAAGAGTGAATTTGTTCTCATGCGATGAGATCGATGCAAAAAGCAAGCCTGGCTCACTCTTGCAGTCTCTTTCACTCATGCTGGCTTCCCTTTCCCTTTCCTACCAAGAGATGAAGCAGCACAAGGTGCTTCCCAGATACGGTTGCCCGAACTTGGACTTCACAGTCTCCAGAACATAAACTTCTTTCCTTTATGAATCACCCAGTCTCAGGTTATGACAACATAAAATGGGTCAGGTGCATAGTTTTACCTGTAAGTAAGTTGGGGATCTACTTGTCCATCATTGTCCCAAGCAAAAGAAAGATGGCACCATGGTCCTTGAATTTGATGGTAAGTAAAGCAACATAAGGAGCCAAATCCCAGTGGAAAGTCTGGGGCAGCCCTCTGTGCCAGCCTTTTCTCCAGCCCATCTCACAACTAATCAGGGCTCAGGGCTTTGAATGCTTGAAATATCCTGCCTTTAGGGAAATCAAGAACAAGAGAAGTAATGGGAGAGATATGACAAGGAAAACCTTGAACCAACCTCTATCTTTTGGTGCTTTCTCATGTTTCTTGCTTTCAGAGAGTCACAGGACAGCCCAGCATGGTCAAGGCAGCCACAGCCTGATAGAGGCTAAGGCAGGACTTTCAGAGCCCAGTTCTAGCACAGGAAGAGGAAGGTGGGAGGTGGGCAAAACCCTGATCAAGGCATTTCAGGACAGGCTAATGAGCTGGGCCACCCCAGTGCTGAGAGAGAAAGGTTAGGCCAGGTGACAACCTGGGATGGATGGTTCAGTGGAGCAGGGAATCATGATGGGGATTTACTGCTCTGCTTTCACCCTGCTAGTGCCATCTGCACATGGGCCTGTCTGGTTAAGTCACTCTCCCCAGTGTGGGCTCCTGGGCAGAGGTCAGCAGTGCCTTGGGGCACCAAGGACACCCACAGATGCTGCACTCAGACCCGCAGGACATCTCATTCAGCCCAGGCTGCTTCGGAAACCAGAGGCACCCTTCTTCCAACAGGTGATCAAGCTCACTGAGGCCAACGGCAGAGGCCCTGGGACATGGCACCCCTGAGTCTCCCCTGTCCAGCCCTCTCAGGCCCACAAGCCACCAGAGGCCTCTTTGGCCTTAAGGCAGCTTGAAGGGGTCTGTCCTTTCAATGGAACAAGTCCTGACCACAGAATGCAGATGGTCTCCCCCACATGGTGCTAACATGTGCACATCCTTATTTTTAGATCATGTGGCCAGACCTCAATTCCATATAGCAGCCTCCCCAACCTCACAACCTATTGCTTCCCTCTTCAAATGCAATTGAACACAGCCAAGAGACACTGGGCAAAGGGGTAGACTTATGCAGACAAGCACAGCCCACGGCCACCTGGGACGCACCAGGGTCATAGAGACATACAGATGTCCCCTAGTTCACAAGACCCCAGAAAACAAGGTTTTTGCCAAAAACCAAGAAGCTTCAGTTTCCTGTCTGTTCATCGTCAATGTGGGATGCCGGTCTGATGGCAGACCTGCCCTTCAGTGTGAACTGAACTCTAAACTGTGTCCCTCCCTCCGTGGCCCCTAAGTTCCTATCTCCTCTGCAAAACCTCTAGAGTCCTGCTTGAGAAGAAAAGGGCCTGCAGACACCTGATTATCACACTCAGTTTAAGTGCAGGTGCCAGCCTGCAAGCCGCAGAGGCATAGAGAGGAAACTGCATTGCTGTTTCAAAACACAAAAGAACTCTGAAACTGCATGGGGATCTGGAGTTAGAGCAGCTAGAACAGAAAGTGTTTTCGCTCACCCTCACCCCAGGTAGTGCCCAGTCACCCAGTCACTCGGCTCTCAGTGGAAAGTGCAGCACACAAAGCCAGGCTGGGACCCAGAGCCTGGGCTCTGCATTTGGCATTTAGCAGCTGTGATGTCTCCAAGAACTCTGCAGAGAGACAGCCCACAGAGGAAGACTGAGCGTGGACCAGAAGCCACTAGAAGCTGGCTGAGGTGGCTGAATTCAGTGCTGTCAACCAGAGGCTGGGAAGGGAGAATCCTGGTGCCTGCATCCGCGGTGAGCCTTGAATCCGGCATCCAGGCCTCCACCCTCT